AATTTTGAATTGAAATTAACAATTGGAGAAAGAGAAATCACTGCTGGAACATTTGTATTAACTTTCAAGTTGGCGGCCAAGTAACATTAGTGTGGTTTTTGGGTATTTTCTCACGATTTTTAAGTTGGATTGAGGTAAATTCTTTTTGAGCACATAGAAGACTTATAGTGGCATTTTTATGCAAAATTTTGCTTCAAGTGGATAGTTAGATTAGGAGCTACATCTTGCTAAAGCTTTGCTAATTAGAGTTAAGATTTACAAAGAAATTTTAAAATTACCTAATTATGAAAGTAATAAAGCAATCAGAGTTTATGTATGGTTGAGATTACTAAAAAGAGTATTTTTGAATACTTTATATTAAATTTGAGCTTTTTTGAATTAAAATTTAAATTAAATTCTCCTTATAAGGTTAAAACATATTAAGATTCTTTGATACTTATAAAACACAATCCCACCTTCCATAGCCAAATACTTGGTGCATTTCCAAATATGACAACACCTAATATGACAACGTACTCTTAACCTTTGTTGTCCATTTTCTTAAGAATTCATAGGCTAAGCAATGTCACAACTAATACCATGATTTTTATTAATTATAGTATCATGTCTTTTTACATCATATTCATTCTATTGTCTATGTTCTTCAACACGTTCTTATATCTTTTGTTTTAATTCTTTGATTACACAAAAATTGTATACAAATACAACATTATTAAAAAAAAAAATCTTTTTCCATCAAATGCATCTAATCTCCTTCTTATCTACTCTATAATTGCTTGTGCATATCATCAAACATCTTCAAGTATTTATCTTTATTTTCCAATAGTTTGATAATTATTGATAATTGGCATGCTAATTTTAATTGTTAAAAAATATCTTTTAATAATGATAATAATAAATAATATATAGATTTTATTTAATGCCTAACTGTATATAATACTCATACTCATACTATTAAAATTATTTTTTAAAGTCATGCAATAACAAGTACATAAGCCATATTTTTAAATTTTTCTTCTCTAATGTCTTGCCAATAATAAGAAAAGCTAAAGCTTCAAAGAATTACCAGTCAAAGTATACAAAAAGGTTAAAAATATAACTAGATAGTTTGTATATAAAGTAATGTAAAAACATTTTAAAAAATCAATTAGTTATTACCTATGAGATAGAGATACTTGAGTGCCAATAAAGTTAGAATAACTTCTATCAAATAATGGGCTACAATCAATAGAATTATTATTAAAAGAATAAATATTCTTTTCTATGGTTTGTCATTAAAACTTGATAATATTCAAAAAGTCATATGATTGCATTAAATCTAATATTTTTTTTAATTAAAATTCATATGAAATATCAAAGAATTAAGTAAAAAACATAAAATATGAAGCATTGTCCTTATAAATAATTTTATGGTACATGTCTATGAATATCACCACAAAAAAAAAAAAAAAAAAAAAATCCTTTGTTTACAATTATTAGATGAAATAAAGTAGGTGTTGTTACAAAATCTCTTGTATTTGTATAAGTATTTAAAAGATATAATTAAAAAGATAAAAAAATCAAAAATTAAAATTAAAACATAAAAATTAAAACATAATGCTTATTAGAAATTAAAATTTTAAATTTTTGATAGATGTTTATGATTACTAAATATGCATACCATCATACAATGAATAATGGCTTTTTTTGTATAATTAATTTTAAATTAGCAGATAGTTTTTGACTATTTTTTACTAATTTTAGAGCTTTTGCATCCACTTATGGTACATTTGTAGAATAATTTCTTGTTTCTATAGAATTCTCAAGATATCATCAAAACTATGAATTCTTTAAATAAAGTTATTTGAGGCAAATTCATAAACATACTTAAGTGGTGAATTTATCTATCCCTATGAACTCAATGAACTATCCAATTATAATGAAAAATCCTTCTATGCACCATATGCAATACAATATAAGCATTGCTATTTTTTTTTTGTCTTTAAATGCATTACAAACAACTATGTTACTTCCTTGATACAATTCCAAAAGCTCAAACTACAAAAATATATAACAAATAATTCTTTATTACATGTATATATGTTAAGACTTTTTAAAGCCTTAGCAAAGTTAAAATAATAAGGAACAATCATAGAAATACACATGTTCTAAGGTAAAATAGAGTTGAGTAACTGCTATTATTTTATGAAATTTTCCAGTAGAAAAATTTCATGTCACATCTATTAATCTTTGTACAGCCCTATTATTTGAAATAATCTTTGGAGTTGCTTAATTCATAAAAACTATAGATTATTATATTTCTAAAGAACAATTTTTTAGGTTTCATATTCTTGTAACTTTTTAAAATAGGTAAGCGCCATCTTCTTGTCAATTCATTTATTTATAGAACTCATGAAATCATGACATATATTTAAGTATTTATGAAAATCTTTATCTATTATTATTTATTTGTCAAATTCGTGCTACTTGCATGTCATTTCCATTATTTTAGAAATAATTCTTCAAATATCACAATATGTATAAGTTTATTAGAATCTAATATTTCAATTTAATATGATCATTTTTTTATATTTGATAAGGCTCTAAGAATAGAATACATAAGATTGTATAAGTAATAACCATCTAATTAAAAATTTGGCACAAGAAGCCTCTGAAAATTGAAATTCAATCTTAATAATTTCATATAAAGTATATTAAAAAAACATAGCTATTTTTTAAGTTTAAAAATATTTGATTTATTATATAATATTTTTTTAGGTCTAATCAAAAATACTATTATCCAAAAAAAATTTATATATAGTTTTATAAATATAAATTATTTAAGTAAATATTTTCTATATATACACAAGCCTAAGCCTACAAAATCTAGTTTCTAGCATATTGATCTAAAGCAATAAAGTACTATAGTCTTTTCAAAAACATACAATAGATGGAAATAAATGTAGAGGTATTGGATTGTGAAAGCATTGTACTTGATTTCTCTATTATATATGAGATGTACTTAAAAGAACATCTTTGTAAGGTCCTTTAGATTATAGTTGAAAAGAAGAGATGCAAAAAGAAATATTTCAGCAATACATATAAAAATAAAAATAAAAACAAAAATTCAAGAATAATATCTCAAATATTACGTACACATGCTTAAAATGGACATAATCATGTAATGGCATAGTACAATTTTTTTAATTGAGTATTCTATAACTTTTATATAAAAGATCTAATTAACCAATGTTATATATCTTCCAAAATAATGCAAATTTTTTAGCACCAAAATGAATAGTATATATTCTATCTACTAACTACAAGCTATATGTATATTCACCTATTTCCTTGTATCTTATATTCCAAATATACACTACATATGTATTCATTTGCTTACTTATAATTTGTGATCTATGTATACCTTCCACATTTGCATTCCAACTCACACTGCACTATATATCACAGCAACAAAAAGATGATTTTAATATGATTACAATTAGCAAATACATTCATGAATATTTGACATTAAGAAATTATATTTGGATTTGAAATTGATTTATAGATCTAAAACTAATGTTTTGTTTTGATAGACTAATTAGCATGTTATTGCACTACTAGTCTTTTATGTTCCAATTTTGTGTAGATATGCCGTGGTTGTGAAGCTCTTATCATCTAATTCCTAGTATTTTTGAATTTCTATTAAAACACACAATCTATTATACAATTTTCTTGTGGATGTGACTAAAGCTTTTTCATGTGCAATGTAGCTCAATTACATCTTCTTTTTTTTTTCTTTTTTTTTTTTTTTTTACTCCAATTGTTCATATCTTGCTTGTAATATTGCAAATTTTCTTTTTGTTCTCATGATGTAGTGGATGGCTTGTAAAAGAAGGCTAATGTTTTTGTTCACACTAAACAAACTTCTCTTTTTGGTATTATTTTGATTTCTTCTATCAATCTCTTTTTATGGTTGAGAGGTAAAGCAATAGAAGCAACAATGGAAGAAGGGAGACAAAAACATGGATTAAAGCTTTGGAAGCTTCTACCAAGATAGAAAAACCTAAATCTAAACACCTCCTTTGCAGCTAAGCTAATTTTGTTATCTAAGCTTATGAATTAGTTTGATGTAGCTTTCAAAAGAATACAAAATTCTCAAATAAATACATATATACTAAGAAAATCAAGGCTAAAAACTATACACATTGTCTAATCCTACTTAATACAAGAGGGCAAATACTTAAAGCAAGAACAAAAGTCTATAAAGACATACCTTTAGATGACCATCCGAAAGTTTGATGTAAGCAATTGGTGCCTTAATCCCTATAATAACATGATTCACATTTCATCTATAGTCATAGAAATTGCATTTATAATTCTATATGTCATTTTTATACTAAATACACTGATAGATCCTCTAAATTCTCCTTCTTGTTATATTATGCAAATCCAAGAAAAATTAATTTTTCATCTATGAAAATTGAAGAAAATATGTAAAAATATATCTTGTCATGTAGTTGCAATGAAGCATGCTAAGGCTACAAAATTGTGAGGCTCACCTAAAATATATATATATATATATATATATATATATATATATTAGATGCTTTTTTAAAAACATATTTTAGGACCATCTTTTAAGATGAATTTATCACAAATTTCAATGAATAACATTATTTATGTTATGTAGAAAAAAAATTATCTCTTTCCAGCATCTTTTCCTCTTATGACCACTTAACTACGTTTACTAAAAATAAAACCACTTATTTTTATTATTTCAATTTCGACCAATTACAAATTTTTTGAAAGTAGTAACCTCTGACATCCAAAGTCATGGCCCTTAGTTTTCTCCCCAATACCCTGAAACAAACAAACAAACAAACAAACAAACAAGTATAAGAATCACTCACACACCATATAAAACTATGGATGAAGAAGAGCCTTGGATGTAGCTCCTGCCGTTTTCAAGCTGGGATTTGAAGTTCAAAATTTGAGCTCCATGTCGTCGGTAAGCGGTTCTCAGCATTCATCCGTTACCGATCGGTCCTCTCGCAGCCGACAATGTCCTCCTCCTCCCTTCGCCACTCACTCACAAGTATGGCTGTTGAATTGCAAGTCTCGGTGGATTATTCAAGCACCTGTTGGATTCTACGGAGGAGGGGAGGTTCGCTGGTGGATCCATGTAAGCTGTGTGTGTGTGTCTTTGTTGGAGCAGAGCCATGGAGTGTTGTAATTTGCGTTTGCTGCGCAGTTTTTTCATCTCGTGAGCTTCGATTTCTTGTTGGTTATGGAGTGGATTTGGAGTTTTACATGCCAAGTGGAGTTGCTAGAAGTTTTTATCCCGGTGGTTGGATGACATCCTGCTTCTCTTGATTGAATAACGAACTGCGAGAGGATTCCTTTGTGATATTGTTTTGAAGTAAGTCTTCGTTGTGGGTTTGTGGAAGAAGGTGACGAGGTTTAGGGTTTGAGCGCCGAGTGGAGAGAGGTGTTATCGACTCCGGATCACAGTTTGTCATCAAGCTAAGTTTTAATCACTTCCTTGTGACATACATTTTTTTGCGGGCATCAGATGTCATATGTTGGTCAAGAAGTTTTGCGTTTGTACCAATTCCATGCTGCTTCAAGTGCGTGTGAAGCCGCTAGATGAGTTTCCCGTTTTCAGGCGTATAGGGTCTTTTCAGAAACATGCAACTCTCCCAAGGTCGCTCTGCATTCCAATTCTTGCTCGAGCATTTGAGATAGCGTTCAATTCTGCGCTCTTGTTTCCAATTGGTTTATCACGTGGCTGCACTGCTCTCCGATCGATCAGTACCTCCCCGCATTCACGAACGACTCCTCGGACTCGGTTGAGAATGGGTTGGGCATGTGCGACTTGCACGTTTATCAACGATGCAGGTTCGGCTTGTGGTGTGTGCTTGATGCCTGCTCCGGGATCGCCGAGTTCTGGCGATGCGAAATGGACATGCGAGGCTTGCACTTTCGAGAACATTGGAGAGACTGCATTCTGTGAAATGTGCGATACAGGTCGATCAACTGTAGGAAGGTCAGTGCGTGGCTCACCGTTCCGACCTTTGCGAGCAAGTGCCAGGGTGAAGCCAGAGGTTGGCCGTGTTGAAGAATCTGCACTGCTTGAGAATGTCAAGAGCGTTGAGGCGGAGAGCCTTGTCACAGGTGGAACGTGGTTCGGCGACGAGAGTCTAAAGGTTGCCTGTGGCAGCCAAAACCTCAAGTCTAGGAAGCACGAAGCCAAGGAAGTGGAAGTAATTGATCTTTCTGAGTCCGATAGTAGAGGAGATGAATTTGTCGTGAAGGATGGTAAGAAAAAGAAAGATGTACAAGAAGAGTCTAATCATTTGCTCGAGAACCTGCACAAAGAGAGGATATCTCGAATGCAAGGAAAGATGTCTGCAGAGGATTCCTCAGCTGTTAAAGTGGGGAAGGATGCCGTTGATTCTTCGTCGAGTTCTCCAGAGCTTGAAAAAGAGAAAGAGTTCGTTCCTTTGACCTCTTTGTCGAGGGAGCAAAAACTGGCGTACATAGAGGCCGAGGGGACATGGCTCGAGAAGCCGACTGCCGACCTGACCGTATTGAGCTACAATGTGTGGTTCCGTGAAGATTTGGAACTGCAAGCTCGATTGGATGCGATTGGAAACGTCATCTTGCAGCACCGTCCGCATGTTGTTTTCTTCCAAGAAGTAACTGAGACCATATACAGAATTTTCGAACAAGCGAGCTGGTGGAAATCCTACAATTGCTCTGTCAATCGTAGAGTGGCTTCTCAACGAGCATATTTCTGCATGGTGCTAAGCAAACTGCCGGTGGTATCCTTCAGGCAGAGCCCATTTCGTAACTCAATAATGGGTCGGGAACTTTGTCTAGCAGAATTAGATGTAGGTAATGGGGCAAGACTGTTGGTTGCCAACTCACATTTGGAAAGCCCTTGCCCAGCTCCACCTACCTGGAACCAGATGTTCAGTGCTGAGCGGGTCGCACAAGCGAAGGAAGCTATGTTAATGTTGAAAGATTTTCCTAATGTGATCTTTGGCGGAGATATGAATTGGGATGAAAAAACGGACGGGGTTCCCCCGTTACCCTCAGGTTGGTTTGATGCTTGGGTGCAGTTGCGCCCAGGTGAGGATGGGTTTACTTATGACACCAAGGCGAATAAAATGATATCTGGCTACCGCTCTTTGCGGAAGAGGGTAGATCGTATGTTCTGCCAGCTTGAGGATTTCGATACTGTGAGCATTGAAATGGTGGGAACTGAACCGATTCCTGATCTCACATATCCCAAGGAGAAGAAAGTGAAGGGGAAAGTTGAGATTATAAGGTACCCTGTGCTGCCTAGTGACCATTTCGGGCTTCTTCTGACATTGAGGAAAAGTGCTTGACACCAGTTTTTTATCGCACTTCAAGCCTCTTGTTTTCTTCATAAACTTCTTGTTTATAGCCACTTCTTTTACTTTTATCTCATCAATGTTGAATTAGCAGTCGTGCAATTCTGTAGTTTTGAGAATTTTTGTACGGGCCAAACGTATTGGTCTCTTTTATACTTTCATCTGAAATAGTACTGCACAGTGGAATCTCTCTTTTTCAAGTATCTTACAGGACTGACTCTAGACGAGTTCACGTTTATTGGTGTCAATTTTTATAGGTATAACTCTTCTGGTTTGAAATCAGAGTTCATTCCTTCTGTTTTCAATGCAATGTGGGTTTACTGTAGCGATCATACTACCTCGAGGGAAGTGCGCTCAATGATTTATTGGTCTATATAGCAGGTAGTCCAGATATCTTGAACATTCAGTCAAAGGTTGTTTCATTGAAAATCCACGCTATGGTGTGCAATGTTGCATTGGATTTACATGCTCGGACAAAATTCTAGTAGAATTGCTACAGACCAAAGTAATCGAAAAAATAAAATAAAATAATGTAATGATACATCGAAGTCTAGCCTCTTGGAGTGAGAGTGAAAGCAAACATGTTTGTTTTTGATCATGAGTTTCAACTCTACTACTACTTGAGAATTGACAACAGCATTTACAGATTTTCATGATTGTAATACCGGGGGTAAAAAATCTAATAGTGATTGGGCAAGAACAAGTTGGCTATTGATACTTGCAATGGAACGCACGGCTGTGCAGGACAATTTAAGCTGTATTAACAAAATTATATATATATATATATATATATATATATATACGTATTTGTAATCTAATTATGTACTATCTTGTACGTATAGATAAGAAAATTACAACTTGTTATTTATGACTTTGTAAGTATATGTGTGTACAGAGATATATATATATGTATATATATACACAACATTTTAAGTAATTGTTTTACAAATTCAATGTATTTTATAATCAAGTAGTTTATAAATATGTGTGTATATATTCAATTTATAAAAAAAACCTTTGTTAATTGCATATATGAATAATGATTTAGTAATTTCTAGAATGTGTGAATCCTGATCTGATATTGTTTAATGAGAGATTTTTATTGAATATATTCGAAATTTGAAAAACATTATTGCATATATACTATATGATTGTGTTATTAAAAGTTTCTCCTATTAAAATAATTTCGAATTTTGGTGAAAAGTGGAAATTTTCGAAATTTATTTACTCAAGTAAATGTAATCAGATGAGCAACAATGTAAAATTTTATTTTTTTTAATATATGTCATATCAGTTTTTGAAGTTGTGCGTCAAAAATTCTTTTGAGCCAATGCAAAGACTTTAGAACACTGGTTTTACAAGAAGAATAGAGTAATCTTACCATTATGAGCAATAAGCATTAGGTAAATAAACTTTTAAAAAGTATAAATGTGTTTTTTGGACTATTCACACATTGTGATGCTTTGATTTCACAATCTGTTTATTTCCACAACTGTTGGTTATGTTTAACCGTATTGAAATCAAAGTTCAAGGGCCTACTTTTGAATAGGGTTTGATCTATAAGCTCTTGCTACTTTTATGTTGTCTCCTCGCTGCATATAAATGATTAAGATGCATGTTTATTGCAGTTCTTCTGCTACAGCATTCTAAGTGGCGTTTTCGTTAATCATTAGGTGAAGAATGAAATTGTTGATAATAAACAGCATCACTGTTTTTGGGATATTTCCTCTCCATCCATAACATATCACTTTGATCATCTTATGTTATCAGTAATAGACCCACTTATTCACATATTATTGTGATCCAAGTTGTGTGTTACGATTCAATCAACACGGTGTTGGAAGATGCATGCTGTGTGATTTCCGACCACCATAACTGCTGTACCAGGAAACCTCCAGGAGAGGTGAAAACACAAACGGAATGTTGGGCGATCTGAGTACTTGAAGGCACTGATTGTGTAATAGTGTATGTGTGTGCTGTGTATGTTTCCTTGTAGGCATGGTAGTAGATGAATAATGAAACAGTTTTTTTTTCTTATAGAAGTTTACATTTTTATAAAATGGTATATAAAACATACTATGGAATTTATTTCATTGTGTCTCCTTTTTCAACTTTTTTTTGTGTTAGTTATTTTGAGGTCAAAGATGTGTTTTTGTTGAATATTAAACTACTTGGCTGGTACAACAACATTTTTTAAGTAAATAAATCTTATTTGTGAAGAATTATTATTGTGTCATAATTCAATTTTAAGTGGTGTTTTTACACAAAAAAAGACCAAGATGTAAGCATCATAATTATATGATTTCATATTATTTTGTATTATTGCTAAAACAAAATGGAATACAATCATTTTTAACCCCAATTTTATACAACTCTAACATTGCCTTTTAAATATGAATATATAATTATTGAAGAAAGATAATTTTGAAGTCACAATACATAGCATTAACAAAGTTGTATACAAAAAAAGTGTGGAAAAAGATGATTGTCACTTCCAATATCCGTTACTTATAGGTAGTGGTTGTTGCCTTAATTAACAATTTCCATCCTTTCATTATTACATCCATCCAAGAATATATTAAATATATTCATTGGCATCTTATTCAATACAAGGATATATCTTAAATACATCTTTTAATGGCACATATTTTATATTCTTACATAGTTTTTTAATATTTCATAATTGAACCTTTTATCCTCTTACCCTTGTCTCTTGACTCTTGATCTCATTTCTTAATCATAGGATGGTCTTTTCACATATCAAGAGTCAACTCCTTGACCATTATCAACTTATCTAAGGTAATATCCTCTATAGGATAATTTATTTTATTTCACTTTAATAAAGGTCAAAAACTTGCAATCCTAATGCTTTTCTCAACATGTGATGTCTATCATTCACTTATGTCTTTGTCAACAAATTACTAGGCATTTCTTCTATTACATAATATTTCATGTCAATCACTTCTATTTCAATCTTTTTTCTTGTAAAGTGATATTAAATGTCAATGTGCTTGGTTCTTAAATGATGCTTTGGATTCTTTGCAAAAGTAAGACATCCTTGGTTCTCTTACTTCAATGGAGTTTCTTTCAATTGCAGTAGTTCAATATCCCTCAAAAGTTGTCTTAGCCATATTGCTTCTATTGCACTATGGCTTCTTATCATGCACTCTATCTCTATTATAGATCTTGCAATTGTTGGTTGTTTCTTATAATTCCATGAAATGGCTCTTACTTCAATAAAAAAATACATATCTTGTTATTGACCTTCTATCATTTACATTTTTAGTCCAATTTGCAAGACTATAATCATAAAAAGTAATATTATTGTCTCCTAGGCACAATTGGAAGTACAAAGTTCCTTTTAAGTATCTCGTGATCCTTTTGATGGTTGTCTAATGAATTGGTCCAATCTTTGAGATGTGTTGGCTCACAATACTCACTGCATATGTAAGATCCATCAATTTTATGTGATGTTCTTATATATGAAAGGACAGAAAAATAAGCATTGTAATTATATAATTTCATATTATTACTAAAAAAATAGAATACAATCAATTTTAGTGCCAATTTTATATAACTCTAACATTATCTTTTGAATATGTAATAGAGAGTACTTTGGCTTCATTATCCAAAATACAAATGAATCTAATCTTTATCAAGTAATACATTAAAGATTGTAAGATATTAAATTATTTTATTAAGCTAAAATACAAAATAATTAAAAAAAAAACATATAAATTTATAATTTATTAATTTTTTGGATAAAACATATAAATATAGATATGGAAATAAAAAAAATTATAATATAATATCACGGACATATATATTTACCTCAATAGTTACTTATATAATTAAGTAGAAGTTGATGAATATAGAATAATTTCATAAAGTCTTCTAAAGAAGCTTCTTACATGCTTTATAGACGCGGTTTTGACTTTAGATGTATTTGTAGATTAGAAAATTGGCCAAAAAACTAACCATATATTGGTAGCTTGTAGAACAAGCCAACTACGTGGCGCATACATAAATAACTTGCCTTGCAAGTTAAGACATGTGGCTAATAAAGTCAACACATGTTGGAAGTCCTATAGGACATCGCCACGTAGCTCTTAGTTAGATAATATATATGGAGGCAAGAGTGAAGCCTTCTTCACTCTTGTCAATGCCTTTCTAGTCTTAGTCTTGTTTCAAGACTTTCTAGTCTTCTTGTTTTTGGCAATAACCATTCTACTTAATATTACATCATTTTTTGAGTGACTTTCTACTCCTCTTCAGTGATAGAAGAGTGTATTGAGGATTCTCTTCTTTGAGATTCATGTCCCTAATAGTTTGACAAGATTACTAACATATTGTTTCAATCTTGTTTTAGAAGTGAGTGAATTACCTCATTTCTATTGTTGTATTTTGAAGGTTACAGACCACCCATCTTTAAACAAAAAATCATGTTTTCTAACACTATTCTTTTCTTTAAAGAGAGTAGATTATTCCTCTTTGTCGGATTTTTTTTAGAAGTTGTGGATTACCATCCTCTAATTTAACTTCTGAATTCGTTTGAATTGTCTATAGAAGAAAAGATTATGGATGCTACTTTCAATGAAAGTGAGAATAGATTTGTAACTATGGCAAATTTTCATGAGCTTGTCAACACTCTAAGAGTGGAAATCTCACATATTTCCAACGTGAATCATCAAAGTACTATGCCTATGCCTATGGAAGAAGTTCAGAGTCTGTGGCAAGAAGTTGTGCAATTGAAAGAACGAAGTAGATCAACGTCACAACCAAATCCACGGAGTTTTGCTTCTACAAGTATGACACGGATAAGGATTAGTATGCTTGAGAAGTTTGATGGAATAAGATCAAAATTTTGAGGATTTTTGCAACAAGTCAAGCTCTATCTAAGGTTGCACCCTTTCCAATATCTTGATGGATTTATCCAAGTCAGATTCATAGGTGCACTACTATTATGAAGTGCTCTCTCTTGATTTGTACTTTTAATGGAAAATTTTTTACGACTCCTTTATGATTTGAATTCATTCCTAGAAGTGTTTATGGCCACATTCGGAGAAAGTGATCGAGATCGAGTAGAAGAGACCAAGCTTTTATGCTTACAACAAAGATCACGATCAGCCACTATATATATTGCCGAATTTCAAAACCTCGCTTGTAATGTGGATTGGAACAACAAAGCACTTATCAACCAATTTTGATATGGATTGAAAGATAGCATCAAAGATTTGTTATTAAGAATGCCGAAAGTAGAATCTTTGAAATAATTTATTACTCAAGCCATTGCATGCAACAATCGTTTATTTGAAAGATGTAAAG